CTATTAAGGTTTGATTGTGAAGTTGTTCCATTCCGAAGAAGAAACGTTTCGTCATTGTCTATCAGCTTGCATCTGTTAAGATCAGCGATACGTTTAATGTTCTTGTTGAGCTTATTTACTCTTTGCTGGTTGTCATGTTTGTCCGTTCTCGGGCACACCGTTGATAGGATTATATGAGATGATGGTGATTTGGATTTTATTGTATTCACTAGGTTCTCATAATCAACAATACCATTATAGAGACACTCATCAGTGGTGCAGTTGTTGGTTCCAACATGTATCACTACAGTATCATAAGACTGCACTTCACTTGCGAAACTTGCCTTAATGTCCTCAACTTTACCGCCTCTCACACATTTCACTTTGGTTTCTTTAAGTCCACGCTCATGGATGTCTCGTATAATAGAATCTCCGAGGATAAGTGTTGAGTTGCTTGGTTTACCTCTTACTTGATCATTTGTAGCTCTTTCTTTCATCTTGTGTGTTCCGGATAAGGACTGATTAAGTTTTTCCTGCTATTAATAACTATAGATAAAAAAATAGTGACAACAAGCATATTTCAGATTCAAAGACAACGTTACGTTATTCCTTTTTAATCTAATAAATTACATCAATCACATTTTGTTAACGCATTTCGATATATTCTGAATATTATTTCGGCTATTAATAACAATAATAATAAGCAAGAGTGTTTTAGATGTGGCGGGATACGTACAGTGTAGACCTATGACGAATGAATGTTTAAAAGTTGAATGTGTGTGGGAAAATGTGTGCGAGGGATTTTCCATATCTTTATTAAAATTGGCAAGCAAATCATTAATCTCTTTTGTTTCTGTGGTGGCTCTGAAAAGAGCCGTTTGCTTTGATTCGAATACATCTGGGTCTTCTTGTCGTCATTTATTCTGAGACGTACACTGTATAAAAAAGCTGGTACCCAACCGCACATGAAACATGAAAATAATAATGTCGAGACTGTCTTTTTATTTAGAATCATACAGATTATTTATATGAACAATTTAGAATACCGGAAAGTGATGTATTTGAAATATTTATAAGATGAATGTGTTGACTTACTACGTCTAATAAAAACAGACAACGGTTACGTAAATAATAATAAGCAATTAATAAGCATGCAATTATTGTTCTATACTCAAAATCTATTAATCAACCACGCCTGAAAGACTCTTCGTATTAATAACAATAGAGACAAAGGAGTGTATTCAGATTACGTAACAGCACGCTTGGATATGTCGTGAAGGAACTTTAGTAAGAGCATGGTAAGAGATTGTGAATAAACAACTTTACCTGCCCACGTGACCGTTCGTGGACCGCAAGTTCCGATTTTTACCAGGAAGTGTATGCCGAGTAAAATCATTCACACGTTAATTGAGCACTCGCAGAATAATGGCCCACGCTTTTTACTCGTGAAACACACGCACGATCCACGCGAGGAATGTAGAAAGTCCTCTAGTCAGTACTGTATATCAACCTCACATACCAAGCAACCTAGTATTCAGTAATGGAACAGCTAGTAAATGAACATTATTATTTATCTTTATTTTAACTTACTTTAAATACTTGATTGTAGTCCAAATTAAATCACAAAATTACAGAAAACACAAAATTACTATTGTATTAAACATAAAAAATGTATTACTGTATTGAAAATGTTAAAATTAGATATACTTTAAAAAAAATCTACTGAGGTTGTAAGTGATACAATTGATTAAGTATAAAGAGTATGCTTTTAAAAATTATTTTAGTAGAAATTCTGTAAATCCCTTGCTATGGTAATACGGAGCAGGTTCCAGCTCATAAAATCTTGATAAATATAATGTCCTTTCCTTGACATATGTTCCACTGTAAAAACACAAGATGACCATATGTCTGACTTGCAGTCCTTTTTATCATTTTTGAGAAAAACAAATGTTCATTAAATAAGAATGTGCAAGTACTTTAAGACATTTTACAAATTAATAATTGATCTCTCCACTGGCATTTAAACCTTAGGTTCTACTTAAACTCATACATTTAGTAAACAAATACAATGTGGATAAAATGCTTTGCCCAGGGAAAAATCTATAGTCAGGGACTCGAACCCATGACCTTTCGATTAGAAGCCTGGAGCTCTACCGCTATGCTACATGTGTCAGAATGACAAGGATGTGTCCTGTTCTCCAAGCTTTAAGAATCTAAATGAATATTTAGAAACATTGATGAATAGAAAGGAGATTTCATAAGTGGTGTTAGTGTAAATAATTTACAGTGCATTGACACTATATACTATCAATTTTGCAGTGTCATATCTAAAAAAGATGCACTCATGGAATTTGTTCCAAATCGAAAGGAAGTCTTCAAGACACCTTTGAAATGACTGTAAAATTCTGTAAATGTAGTTTTTGTGTAGCTGTTATATGCTGAATTCTTTGGACATGTTTGAGTGCCTTTCATGCTGGAGAATGGAATTGCAAATGTCAAGTCGAGGAGTGTGTAGGCATTGATAAGAAGCTCCTCTATATAGTTTTGTAAATGTTATAATGAGTCTGGCCTGATTTCTAGAGATGCAAAAACTGAGCAAGTGATGTTGGTTATATGGTTAGTGACTCATCAGTGATGACTCTTAAATTCCTGACTTAAAATCTAACAGACAAATAAAGAAGTGGTTGACATTCACATTAGCTCTTCGTTGCCTTTCCAGTGTTGATCAAACCTAACAATCAGAATGCGCAGCAAGCAATATGCGTACGTCCCACAAACACATCATTCCGAGTGTATGTTTTGTGGGAAATTAAGCAACAATACTCAAGGGGTGTGGCTTAGCAAAATAATTTACTTCATTGGCAGAAAGGAAGAACATACCTAGAATTTGGCATGGCAACAAAGGCAATAAAAAAGATAATGGCAAACTGTAGAAAGACAAAACCCCTCTCTGTGGGCAATCCCACCCTTCCCCCCTTCACAAACAACCCTAGTTATTGGCCTGCATTATTAAACTGTACCTTGTGTGGGTGATGTTTTTAATCTTGAGCATAATTCTTGCACGTCCCCGTATCTATTTTTGATCTCTGAAATTGCCTCGCCTCGTCTGTACTCCATTAATTCCCTCAGCTCTTCCACCGTGGCCTTGAACGGGCCGTCATCGATCTCATCCTCCATTCTGCTTCAATCTTTAACCTGTCAAAAATAATTTACAATATTTTATTGTTACGTAAAGTTTTTAAGATCAATAATAATAATGGCAATAACGATAGTAACACTAATTGCGAAAGAAAAAAATCAATATATTTAAATTTTAATATCAACATTGATATTGACTGTAACATGACAAAAACTAAAATAAACATAACTAGAATACTCATAAAATTATCAAATATAAAATAACAATTGAAATAAAAATAATAAGCAAAAAAATAATAATTGTAGAATTAACAACAAAAATATAATTTTTGAAAGAACGTTCACCCATCATATACATGGCAACAAAAGAACAAGTATCTTATTCTTGTACAAATCCTTACATAATGACAGAATAACTACGAAATGATTACCACAGGAAATCAAGGCCAGCTGAAGCGTACTCATTAACATTCAACAAGAGGCCGTACAAAAGGTCAAAGTGTCACACCATATGCAAATGATGCAAATATTGTCTGAACAAAATAACTAACACAGTGGTCATATAACCGAGGAGAAATAAGTGATTTCCTCAATGATATAACATAGAAGGAGGGGGAAAATTGAGAGATCAATTGTTTTTTTTTTCTATTTAATTTTCATCAAACAGTTTACTTGTCACTTAGAGAATATAATTCTGAACTACATCCATATTGAGGCCTCAGAGCACAGCTACTTTTAGTCATTAAGGACAAATTACAGATTCGAACCAAGCACAAAGACAAGATCATTAACCACTATTAAAACCCTACTGTAGCTCGCATCTTGATTACTCTCATTGTCATTATTGTCATTGCTACCATCACTAAATTGTTGAGAATACTAAATAATTTTTTCAGTTGAAATCACATATTGCTCAACAATTTCACTATTTATATTGTTTCAATTTCTCTCTGATTAAATATTTGTTTTCAATCATTTCATGTTGCTTTACTTTTTTAATTAACTTTCCACCTGTTAATAGCAGTGGTAAGTTATTTTTACCTTTAAAAACCTTTTAAATTTTATCGTCATAGTAATTTATTATTTTATTAATATTACAAAAATTTGTAATATTAAAGCTTGAAAGTGGCCGTAAGTTCTTGATTAGCCTTGAAATTACCTATTAAATTGATAATATATAGATAACCTCATCAACAATCCATTATTTATCTTAAACACAAGATATTCTTTTCAATTGAACAACTTAACTAAAATAATTTGCATAGGGAAATAGTTTGCATACTAAGTTAAAACAACTAATTAATGCTAATCCTCCACTGACATACAAATGGTAAAATGCAAATTTTTATAATGCTCATGTTTCAGGAACCATGATTAATTTAAATAAAGAATATTTGGTGCTATTTATTTTCATTATGATTTCGGCTCTAACAGCACTACGAATGAAAGGTTCGCAAACAATGTTTTATGTTCCATGCCAACTATGCAAACATTAGTGCATTAATTCATAACAAAATTATGAGTTCTTTAACGCAAACATCTAGAATTCAAACTGCATATCAAACTAAAAGATCTTAGTCTATGATCAGAAATTCACTAGTCTACCCTGTAGATACTAAATGTCGATGAATAAAATTCATGTTTGGATAAATGAAGGAAGATTTCAACAAAAAATATATTTCAAAGGAAAAACATTATTAAATGAAATGATCTATTCAGGATAAAAGTGCAATTAATAATTTATGATGTGTTCAAAATTGCAATTATTGTGCACAACATAAAAAGTGTTTTTGCATTCTCAATTTTGTGCCTGGATCCAACAATACAAACAGCAGTGTACATTATTTATAAAAATGTTTTTTATGTATGCATACAGGCATTGCAAAATGAGGATGGTCAGTTTACTATACAGATTTTGTTTTTAATCCTGAAATTTCATGAATATTTCAGTCCTTGACTACTGGCAATTTTAGAAAAAGTATTTACTTCTATAAAAAACACTACTGAGGCCAATTGCTACCGTTCATGTATAAATGGGCTAGATTTTCTCCACTCCATTCACCTTGGAACTAAAAGCAAATTTATGCTTAATAGTGCAATAAGGATTAATGCAAAGCCTTCCATATTTAATTAATACAGAAATGATTACAATATTTGATTCCGGCAACTACTAGAATGGCCTAGCGTACAGGACTAGGTAAACAAGCCTGGGAGAATCTGATAATTCATACATCACACACTCAGTTCAAAATTTTACGAACAGTATAATATAAAGTAGTCCAATTTCGGTAAAAAATGAATGTGAAATTTTAAATGTTAATTTTAATAGTTCACCTCTAATTTGTAATAATATGAATGCTAATTAAAAATGGCAATGGATAGAGGACTACATTACTACCATTTCAGTATGGCAGCGAATGTGTTAAAGATATATACGGTACCAGTACCATCTGCCATATTAATAAAAACCTGCAAAAGGCCAATTAAGACATTGAATTCCACATTTGAAAATATAAAGCAAGTTACAACTTTTAAAGATACTGTACATATATCTTAAAAGGAACTTAAGTTTTCGCAGATTTACAGATTGTTTGCTTATGAAAATCCTAAAATTTATGGTCTATGCAAAAAGAATACTAAACAGTACTATTTATGCTTCTCGTAATAGATGTTCTAATTTTCAATCGAAAGGTAATAACTTACCTAAATGCACAGAGTAAGAAATACAAATATTTTTCCCCTGTTATTTATCTATTTTTTTTTTTTTTTAAACTCAAAGAAGAATAAAACTGAATGATAAATGTAACGACAATATTGTATAATCCCGTCTTGGAACATACATAAATTAGAAAAAACAAACTCAAATTATTCAAAGAGTGGAGTAGGCAGTATTCAACTCTTTATTATGAATTCTGAAGAGCTTTGCATTAGGGGAGACGAGTAACTCGAGCCTCAAGATCCACTTATGTGGTTGCTAGAATGATATCAAATATTAGTGTGTACTACTAGTAGTGAATGCTTCATCTCAGATTTATTGATGAAAATAGGACAATTACAGCAAACATCAAAGTCAAAGCAAAAACTCATTTGGGTTAAGTAAACTGTAGTGTACATTTTAAAAGTGTTTGAATGCGGTTCGTTGTAACACCAGGTGCAAAGTCGTTGGAAATCTAAAGATCTTTTGCGATATTATCAATATCTTTTTTTATTATAATCTATTTTAGAAAAGATAACGATCCTTTTGTTTATATTTTTTAAGTTAAAAAACGAGAATAAACTAACAAAAATGATGACTAAAATATTAACAGAAAATGTGCTCAGAAAATATGAAGAAAAACATTAGCTGATAAAAAACCATTAACACAAATTATGATTCCTCAAAAAATGATTTCTTATGGACAAAAATAATATATACATACTGTACTTGCGATGTTCAAATTACACTGATAACAGTTACATAGTTCTGAGAGCTAGGTATTGTGGGGAGTATTGAATAGTGCCCTCTGACAGCGGTCTGACAGTGTCAAAGGTTTCCATACAAGGATGTATCTACGGTTTTATTAATAAACAATTAATGCTTTGTAAAAGCACAATAGTCACATAAATCAAAAAGATGAAGGTGAGACAAAGACAAGACTAATTCAGATATTAATGAAAATGGTTATAAACGTAGAGAGAATTGAGCAAGATCACAATTTGCTTAATTGCTATTCCATTTTTTGTGCACATCAGGCCATCACTAATAATGAGTAAAATGGTGAGAAGGACCCAAAAGGGCATACAGGCCATATATTGAGGGGGCCGGGTAAATAGGATAAAAAGAATGATACAAAAATATCATCCATTTTGAACAACCACTCTAATGGTATAAATTACACATCTAAATAGCTAAAAGACAATAGCTTCGAGGGACACATTTAACAGGTCTCAGGCCCCACCATTAAGACCCTGGCATATAAGCTGCCCCAATATCTGAGCCCAAAGAGAACAGACAAAGATTAAATTATCTTGTATCTTGCGTGTGATATGTGTCATCACATATTGAAAATGAGATTTGCTGTGGTGAACCAAGCAAGCACTTTATCATGGAATGCTAATAGGTGTGTTGACATCATTGAGAGTTAAGGCACAGTGGCTTAAGTGTGGAAACAGATAGGTATGGTGATTCAATCAAATGGACAATGAGGGCACTGTACACAGCCTTCAATGTAGAAACAAAATAGGTGTTGATACCATAATCCAAAGAATGGCAGGTATCATCAACTGAGGAAACATAATAGGTGTTGACACCATCATGGGGAATAAAGATCCTTTATCTGGGAAGCCTATTATGTGTTCACACCATATAGCCTTGTCATAAAAGCCTTATTAGTGATGACACCATTATATGAAGAAGGAAGACAGCCTTCAAGAGGTTGATGAGGAATGACGAGATAACAGAGGAAACCGGAATTGCTATTTACGCTTCGCTTCGCAGAAGATGCACATAATATCTCCATCATTTTGAGTTTTTCCTGTATAAAAATATAAAAAATTGCTAAAATAAAAATATTTAGAACACATATTCCTAGTACTTGTCACTGATGCTCTGTGTATACTATTGCATTTTTTAGCTAAAAATCTGTAATTTGCCCATACATGGGCATGATGTCATATTTATCATAACCATATATGGGCATGATAATGTAATATATCCATATATGGGCATGATGATGTAATATCAAACCCATATGGGCGTGATGTCTTTAAAACAGCATAATGAAAAATTACACAGGTACATACAATTCTCGGAGCTACTGATCAATTGAGGGAGGTTAATTAATATTAAAATGCTTGTAATAAACAAAGACAAATATAATAGAAAGTCAGTAGTCTTCATTACATAATAAAGACATGATTAATCCGCACCTTAAGCCTGGTGTGACCGTATCCATCCAAAATTTCTGCATGTATAACTTGCGGTGAAAAAAACTTATGTAACATACTGTAGGTAATTTACATAAGTGTAAGATTTCTAGTTGAAAATTATTTTATCAATCAGTTGATCCCCTCTGG